TCCCGGGGTCACTGGGACACGGCTGTAGCCGGGCAGCCGAGTGCCATGTGCTGGAGCCTCAGAGGCACAAGGATCCCTGCCCCTTTCCCAGCCAGCCCTTCCACAGGGGGGAGGGATGGCTGGCACAACGGCTTGGAGCTGGGAAAGCTTTGGGGGAGACAAGAGGCAGGGGTCACTATCTCACTTCACCCCAAAAGCAGCCCTGCCTGCCTTGTGTCCCCATCCCCTGGTGGTCCCAGTGCCACCCCATCGCTCAGGGCTGAGCTGTGGGGCTCCCCTGCAGCTTGGGATGGAGCCCCACCACCCACAGCTTCCCCATCCCTCTGGAAGCCTGACCTGGCCCCTGCTGCTCCTCGTGGATACACAGTCATGTTTGAGCCTATTTACTCAAACGTTCTACACAGCCCCTACTCCCCCACCCCAAATCAAGCCTGCTCTCAGCTCTGCCTGCTCCTGCCCCCCTCCCAAGGGTTGGTGAGGATGGGGATGCTCCTGGTGACACCCAACGAAGATGAAGTGCTGCCTCCATCCTCGGGGTGAGCCTCACAAGCACTTGGCATCCCGTATGGGTGCCTCTTCCCAAGTACCTGGGTCTGCTGAGCATGGCATATCCTTGAGCATGATCTCCATGATCCTCCATGCCCAGGGACACTTTCCCTCTCTAGGCACGTCCTGAGGGCAGACGCTCTCAGCCAGCCAAGCTGAGTGGGGGGACCCTGAACCACCCCACCTTCCAAAATACAGCCAAGCTGAGGCAAAAGTGAAAGAAAACTTTATTTGTAACAGGTATTCTCTGTGCTTCTCCTTAGGATTATTTGTAGAGATACTTGGGGCTACAAAACCAGAGCGAAGCGGTGAGGGGGAATCCTGCTCTTTGCTGCAGCCACTTCTTGGGTGCTGCAGGGGGAGAGGTGTCTCCAGGTGCTCCCAGAGAGGACAACACCAGGAGCCATCAGAGAGGACTTCGTGGAGGCTTTAAGCAGCAAGGAAAGCGGGACCCTGGCGGACTCCAGGGGCTGCATGGAGGACATACATCCCCCCCTGCCTGAGGGGCGAGGGGGCTCCTGGCAGGAGGAGGGGGGATGCTCTGCCCACAGGGCATGGGAGAGGCTTAATTGGAGCCGAAATAGGTCTGATCCGTGTACTGCTGGTTGATGTATCTCGCGAAGGTGATGGTGCCGGTGGCGACCAGGACGACGATGAGGATGACGAGGAGGATGTTGAGCAGCAGGGCCGTGATGTTCAGGTACTTGGCGGTGGAGCCGTAGCTGAGGGCCCCGCTGTAGTCACCCAGGACTTTCCGGTCCCTGGACTGGGGGGAGGCGGAGGGGAGGGTCAGTGGGGCTGGGAGGAGGCAGCAGAGGGAGATGCCCCGGGGGGCTGCGGGCTGCAGCCGGGTGGGAGAGGTGCTGGGGGGGCTGTGCAAGCCTGAGCTGGGCTGAGCTCCCACCCAGAACACTAGGAGTAACCTGGCATGCCAACTGCCCCAAAGCCTGCCAGAGCTTCCAGTCAGGGCTCTGTGGGGCCAGGGCTGCATGGGCTGGGGGAGCTCTGTGTGGTCCATTGGGCACCCTCGGCTCTGGGGCTCTGTGGGGTCCACGGGGTTCTCTGGGCTTGGGGGCTTCTATGGGGGTCCACAGGTTTCCCGGGGCCTGGGGACACTGTGGGCTCCATGGGGCACCCCAAAGTGGGGGCTCTGTGCAGTCCACGGGACTCCCTGATTTTGGGGTCTCTGTGGGGTCCATGGATCTCCCTGGCCTCAGGGGCTCCCCGGAGCCACCCCCACCCCAGCGCACAGGAGACGCCGGGGCTCCCGCCGCCCCCC